TTTGGTACGTAGTTTTTTGTGGTTTCACATCAGGGAAGTGCTGGACCAGTATCCTAACAAAGGGTCCGAGGACCGCGCGAGATCTTTTCTTCTTCTTCTTTCTTGGCCTATAATCACCTCTTACTTACGTACACTTTCACTTACTTACACTACCCTACCACACTTGTCTGAAGACCCTATCGGGAGTTTGGAACTTGCACAGGGTGGGGAGGTCCCTTCAAGTCGACGTGTCGGTCGGAGTCGGGTCGCACCATTCATCGGGCGGAAGGCATCGCCGTCTCTGATAAAACATGAAATACACTACGGGACTAATGACCACAGCCATTGACACACACAGATACAAAGAATAATTAATCAACCATCCAACCCACTTTCTTCCATTTTATTATGGTGGCACATTGGAAGAACAGCGTCTGAGTGAGCATTGCAGCAAGGTAATGAGTGGATTTTCGCGTAAGGCATAACTGTTGTGTTGTTGCTTGTGGGACAGACCCAACAACTACCTATTACCCATCAAACTCTCGTCTTTGTCGTTTTACACTGTGATACCCACCCATTGCATCCCAACTGGCTACCTTATCTGAGATGAGCCTTCGGATAATAGAATGCGAAACTGTGACTGTCGGTGACGATCTCTGGAGAGTTTCCGACGTCTGAAGAGCGGGAGGGACCCATCTAGACAAGTGCTGAATGAAATGTAAGCAGAGAATGAGAGAAAGAGGGATATTTGAAGGGATGGACGGGTCGCTGAGAGCAAAGAAAGGCTGAAAACAGGCCACCTCATCGAATTCAAATCGAATACATTACAAAACAACTAGAAACAAACACTATACGCAGTCTACTTATGAAGTTATGAAGATCGCAGAGATTAAAGTGTACAAAGGGGTCATAACTCTTGATTATATCCGCTCAACTCGTTTTGCTAGTCACAATTCCATACGGAACGAATGGGCAGGGCTATCAATTATGACACCAGAGCTGGAACACTAGCGCTCTTCGGGAACTTTGCTGTGAATACGCTCGTGTAGCCTTTCATCTACAGATCTGTTTCTCTTCAAACCCAGTAATGTTCTACGCTCCACTGTTGTCCAGTAAGCTTGCGAAAACGGTCATAGCTTCCTGTTAGAAGATACAACTGTGCTCGTCAGAAAGGACCGATAGAAGCTCAGACGAATTAAGGAAGTCATGGAAATTGCGTGACATCCGTAGAACATCAACAGCGATACAATGTAGGGCGTTCATGATTGACAGCCATTACTACGGACTTTTTCTTTTTTTCCGCCTCCAATAGCCCTGAATATGCGCAAGTTAATTCATGAAACTGTGGTACAATTCTAGTCGTTACGGATTTGCAAAATTGGAAAAGCCTGTCTTAAACAGACTTTTTAAAACTAACTTATATTCTTTACTATAACTAACTACACACATTTGGCCTCTTTTAGTTATACGTAAGTTATTGAAAATTTTATATCAGAGAAGTTATTGTCATTGTTATTATTTTCTTCATTCTTATATATTGTTACACTCTCATTCATTCTTAAACTATGCTACGGATTAACTTGCGAATGCCCGCCCGGCTGGATTGCTCCATGCCCTCCATGCCCCCGACCCTCCCTTGTCGCCCGAACACAGACCATACCGTGCCAGGGGAATCGATCCTCTCTCGTGGCTGAACGGTTGCCTGATTGGCTGTTTGGTTCAACCAATCCACGCCCTGCCAATCTCGTATGTTAAACTTCCACTGACCAGTCCGGCGCAAACCAGCCCTGAGGAAGACTGCGACAAGATGGTCGAAATGTCGGCATCACACCCTTTGACACCGCGTCACCCGAACTCTTAAGAGCACTTGCAAGACTGACCGCGGATGACTATGGCTGAACGTGTATTATATCTCACTCTACAAAAATATGCCCACATATTTATAAGCTGGATATATGCAAGGAGAAATCATTCGCCAAGTTAGACAGTGGTAGTTATCACTTTGTCAAAGGCTGGCACAGATGAGGGAAGTCCCCCTAAAAAATTCAGTAACTATTAATTTTAAATGGTAACGAAACTTTCAAGCAAAATATTTTCGGAAAATGATTAAAACGAATAAAATCTTATCGCATCATGGACTGAGTTAAGCCTGCAACATTCTACATAATCTGCAATAAGTAAATATATTTACATATTACATTTATAAATCCCTCCCCAAATTCGTTTCTGGATCCGCACCTGCCAAAGACACCTGACATGTCACACCCCCGACAGGTTCTCGCCACCCTAAATTCGAATGGTAAGTGATGACATTTTTGCTTCTCTGCAAACCTATTTTCATCTGCGACCGATCGCCTTTCTTTCACCAGAATTGCACGTGGAGCGACGGGGATCCGAATTTAATTGAATTGAATTAATGCCTTATTTTACATGGCGACACTCTGGCCATCAGGCCCGCTCTTCCGTCTGACCACACAAATTTCGCTACGCTCTTTTTACCAACTAGCAGAGAAAGGAGGTATTTCTTGGGCGAGAAACAAGCGATTTGAATTTCGCTCAGGTGTCATTTAGGCTTGAGGATCTTTTACATGCAAGTAAATCTACTAACATGGGACAGCCGGCTTTACTTCCCCTCCGAAGGAAGGAGTACGAAGGATTTTTTCGCCCTTAAAATGCCATGGCGTCGATCAGGTTTGAACCCGCCAACGTGGGTATAACACTCCGTTACGCTAACCGTTACACCATCGCCGCGCGCAAACGAAGTGCAATCCGGCGCTCGACGCCAAAGCTGCAGTCCTCGCGCTCTGACCGCCGCGCCGGCCGCGCCGCGCCACCGACGAAGCGTGTGTGGAACCCCCAGAGCATGGGGTTCTAACCACTTTGTTTCTTCAACCCCTTTAAAAAAGCAATGGTTTGCTTCATCGACCCCCTTCATTTTCCCCCTGTATGTGGAGCACACAAATTTATTATAATATAAATAATTGGACATAAAGGATTTAAATATAACTATTAAACTGATATAAACAAGTTTTCAAAAACAAAATAACAGATTTTAGTTGCGTTAGAATTTTATTTTATTATTGTGAATGATAGTAAGTTTCAAATGATAGAGCGATTTGTAATTAATTATTAGGTGTTTTGTAGATTTATGTAAGTAATAATAATTATTATAATAATAATATTAATATTAATAATAATAAATGCATAAACATTTGTGTAATCAGTCGAGCTAGATTTTTATTCAGTCAGTCGTCGGTGCATATTTGGTTGTCGACCCCTTATCGATCGACCCCTTGATCATCATCGACCTCCTTAAAATAAAATGTCATCGACCCTCGGGGGGTCGATACCGATCCCGTTGGGAACCCCTGCCCTAGGGGCAGAGAGGACGCTACCGAGGCCATTTCATTTTCTCTTACTGGCTAAGCCTGCCAGGCAGTATTCAGGATTTTGATAAATTATTGGAACTGGAGAATGATGATTTTCGGGCATGTTAATATTGGTTGTAGATAAATCGGTAGCTCTCAACGCATACTACAGCGCCAGTCGAGCGCGCAAGTGCCCGAGTGCGCGCTCGAGAGGGTGCGTGCGGGTATCTAGCCGAGGCTTCGTGTTCCATCCATTAAGAATGGAGCGTCTGTATTTTTTACGCTTAATGGGCGACTGCCTCCCACACCCGCGGCCCGCAGCCCCGCCCACTCGCATTAAGTATTGCCGCGGGAGGAACCGTTGATGCTGCGGCGATGGACATGTCATGGTTTATTACTATTCTTGTTTGTGGGTTTCGTAAATTTACGAAAGAATTTCGCAAATGAAGATAGGCCGATACTGGTGAGATAAATAATTGTGATTTATTGCGTGATACATTCGAGATTCAGGTATGAGTGTGATTTATGACTCTGTCATCGTCACGAAGGAAATTCCCTTCTTCTAAAATGAATTTGAGGGAAGCGTTAGTAAAATTTGATGATATGATAATAATAATAATAAAAAATAATAATAGTAATAATAATAATAAGAATAATAAGAATAAGAATAAATGGGTAATTGTCTGGTGGTAACTATCAGTAGAATTATAACCCACTCATAAGAACAGAAAAATACAATCCTAATATTACGTATGCATAATAATAATAATAATAATAATAATAATAATAATAATAATAATAATGTTGCACTTTATTCATGCCTGATGCTACTTCGTCCAGACTACCGACCGGTATTTAATTTCACGTGTTTGTGAAACGGCACGGACGAAACGGACGCTGTAGCTGGTTTTTAGGCCTACAGTGTCATTTTAGGCCGGATTTCTACATGTTAACTTCATCTGGAACAAATTAAGCATTCAACTTAGAATATCATAAATTATTACACAGAACGATGACTTATAGATACATTTTCCATGTATATGTTCAGATATACTGTATGAGCAATATTTACTGAAAATCTAGATTTCAAACGAAATCGTGAAAATGCAGGAATTTATAAACAGAAAAGTGGTCCAAATTTTGCTGGAAATGTATGTAATAAATTCATGAAAATAGGTGGAATTTCAAGAGACCTCCAACAATAGATAGGGAGGCCGTGTTTCCTTTTTCCCACAGCACTTCTCGACATAACGTTAAATAATTCACGTTCAGTCTAACGTCATAATCAAACCAGTAAGCGATTGGGAAAATCTTATTTCTAAATTTATATCGACGTATAATTTGATAAACATCGTACCTTAGAAATGGCCTCTTATCTTTATAGCCAAATAATGGCATTTTGCTGGGACAGTAAATTTTACTTGATGAGTACGAGAGAATCAATGTTATAGTACTAGACTTCATAAAAACGTATGATGGTGGGTACAGGATATGAAAATTCTCTGATATTTTATCATGTTCTGTGTCTATTCTCTAATTCTTAAATAGAAATTTCAGTTTATCGATCTATGAGTCCTGGGTTATAACGATATTAAATACTCGTATGTGTATTGCCCACTCGTAGGTTTTATCTCTGTTATGCCCCCTGTGCAGGAATCCCCATCGTGTACATGGTGGTGAACTTCCCCAGTGCCATCCCCTGGAAAGAGCTGGACTCGTGGTTTCTCCCCTGGTGCCACATCGTGGGCGCCATCTGCCCCTGGGTTGGCTCCTTTGTCTACCACCTCTTCATGAACCTTGAGGGCGGCGAGAGCTTCTACTACCGCCTTCTTCAGCTCGACATGTTCGGCATTTGGATGAGCCAGAGCTTTGGTGAGTATTGCGGATGCAATGTGCAATCCAACGGAGCTTGCCTTGGGCGACCCGTGGTGTAGATGTCAGACCACTCACCTATGGGACCAGATCACGGCCCTGTGGGTTCAAATCCCATTAGATCATTACAGAATTTGTGGCGAATAAATCGGGTTTGTAAAAAGGGTCCTCAGGGTACTTGATTCTTATGGCATTGATCATTAATCATTCATATCATATCAGCTATAACATCATCCTTTTATCAACAATGTTCATCCCAGGTGAGGCCAAAAACGCTAGGTACTAAGGATCGAAGAAATAATAAATAAAAGTCCGCGGTAAGCTGGGCAACGGACAAATATTGAAGTCTAAAGCAAACATAAAAATAAAGTCATATATAATAAACTAAAATAAATCCGCCGTAGGAGGAATGACCCGTAGCGCGTCGGCCACCTATGCATCTCAAAGTTCAAATCCCAGTTGATCCGTGTGGAACGTAGTACAGTGGTACTTAGATACATATTGTGACGTCATGGATACTCACAGCGACCACAGACACAGAGCTTTCGTATAACAAATATATTTATTAACAAGAAAACAAAACAAATATATACACTTAATAATCTACTTAAACCCTAGCTCTGATAGACCTACTATCCCCTGATCGCGGGAGCGATCCAAAACCCGATTGAAGATGGTTTTGATTGTGGCATTCGCCACTCCTACTTCTGAAGCGCGCACAAAGCCTGGCTTCCGTGACCGGATGTCACGCTGGGACACAAAGTCCGTTCTGGCGCACCAACGGCTGGTTTGCCTCGATCGCAGGAGCGATCTTATCCGATTGATAATCGGCGTGAATCGTGGCACTCAACCACTCTTCACCTCGGAGCACGCACACAGCATCGCTCCCCCGTGACCGCAGTCACCCAAGGACATAAAGTCCGCAGGCTTCGTCAACTAATGACTCCAGCCTCGCGAGCCTGGCTCGCATATGCACCGTCTTGGCGCCAAGTTTTGTGCACACGCACGAGGTTCTCCCACCGTCTCCAGAACCTGCCTACTGGCTCCGTACACTCTGTTATATAGGCGAGGCCCACGTGACCTCCTACGTCACGCCACCCCCTCGCTTGTTATAACAGTGAAAAGCTTCTATAAGCCGGAAGACACCCAAAACCTTGAGTCTCCCGTCTCCGCGTTCTTCCCGTTACGGAAAAACCCTTCTTCCTGTGGCGAGACTAATCCGCAACCAAGCGTCCCCAAATAGATGCCATGAGGCACGCTGGCTAATACGTTACAATATTGTGTCTCAATAGCTCAGGCACTTCCCACCAGCAATCTGATCCCTGTTTATCACGTTACTGCTATTCCTCAACACAGTAACTGCTTCATTTACTCTTGCCACATACCGATCGCTGTTGTCAACTCATCCGGAGGAAGTCCCCGTGTATACTTCGAAGCTGTTTTTATTTCAGACTTTATTAACATACTTTAAATAATGTCAACGTTTACCGGTTAATTCGGAAATCAGTCAGTTTACGATTTTATCTGTAACATATTCACAAGTCTCATAATAAAAGTTACAAACTTGTAGGACATGTAAAAGGATCGAAAATGATCACTTTTTGCCAACAAACATGTAGTAGGAAATAAATTATTTGTATTTTTAGCCTGTATATGTTATTAATTGCCCTATATTATATGCCCATTCCTTCCGAGACAACTGCGTATCCAATGAGGCATTATAGACTTTTACCGCACTTTCACGATAAACTCTATTCCAATTTTACATGTAAAGTCGAAAAACTAAATTCTAATATTTACCGGTGTTTGTACATTTACAGAATTACATAAACAGAGTGCAAGGGACCGAACATATTCGCGACAGTGTCATACTGAAGTTTCATTTTGAATAAATGATAATGAAAATAATGTTTTACCACTTCATAAAACAGTTTTTGTAGGCTCGGACTTCAGGTTATAATGTTTTCTCCTTCCTTACACGCAGAAACTCTCATTTTCTTTTTATTTAGATGATAACTTTAGTAACCCTCGTTTGTATTTATAATTTAAATCACAATCAATATGCCGTAGCAGTTTCGTAACAACAGCATGTCTGAAAACGATGGTCTGATTGCGGGGCAGTTATGATTCGTTGGGATAACAGAGGTGTGCACGGAGCACGTTGAGCGCATCATGAGACGCCCCGCGGTAATGTAACCCACGCGAAGAAATAAAAGGGTCGATGAACAAGCCTAAACGGTATGCGCACATTGTTCCTGCTTGTTAAGTTTGTCCACGTATGTAATCTTCTAAAGGGAAAGGAGATCTTTGTAGCTTTCAGTGAAAATATACATTTGAGTACATGTATCTTTGAGTGAAAATGCGTTTAAATTGTACTGTGATTAATTTTGAAAATCTATTTAGACGATAAATGTCTGATAACTTTGTGACCTACACAGGGGTCTCACATTACAGGTTGAAAACTTCTAGAGCTTGTAAGAGGCCAATGACGACTATATTTTGCCTTCGGACATGAGCTAGAAAATTGCAAGCCGAAGTTAAACGTTGTCCCTGACTTGTAGGCAATCCGTCACGCACTTCTCTTCTGTAGATCACGTACTGTCTTGACGGTATTTAAAGAAACTGCCGAGGTCCAAGGCATGGTCAGTTGCATACCACTGACATGTGTAACTTTATTATTAGAATGTCTCACATGTTCATGAGCAAAAAGGTATCATCTTCCCCTACATGACCTAGAAGTTGACAACATGTATTTTGAGATATTCTGCATAAAGAGCTAAGCGTCTAATGACTGTTACCAATCGCAAACCTCCAAGACCATCTATAGAGGTGGTACTCGTAGAAAGCTCATTTAAAACCTTGGGGAGTGCGTTAATATTCAAATCCCACTCTCTGAGAGCTTCTGGAGGATTGGGGGCTACGTTTAATGATTGAAGTTTCCAGCCGCGTCAACGTGTATGGTCGTTAGTCCCGTAAGCGTAGTTACTGTTTTTATGTCTGGAGGTGGTGGCAGTCCTTCGTCGCTGACTCCCTTCTCCTTCCCTTCTGACAACCTCCTCCTGCGCAGCCCCGCCGCAACCGAGGCAAGCTCCAATCTCTCGATTGGTCTCTCGACATGTGTGCTTGTGTAGTGCATGTAAATGTGTGTAAGTAAGGAGTGAGGATAGGACAACGAAGAGGAAAGAAAGATCGCGCCCAGTCCGTGGTTGGTTTGTTAGAATTCTGCTTCGATATTCCCCCGTTATTTATAGGATAAACCTGTAAAATCACCAATCTTAGCAGTCGAGCGCTAGAATTCTCATCCAGACAGCGTCTGAATTCGACCTAGCTAGAACAAGAGAATCGTTCGAACGAGAGACCTCGTTAGAACGAGAATCGAAAAATCCGCTAGATAGCTCGTCGGGACTCAATTCCTAGGGCCTGCGTGTCACGGGCGCTGACATCGGCGACATTAAATATGACGTAAACTAGAACATTTTTTGGAAGATAAATAAAAATATATTCATAAATCATTGTCGAGTGTTTCATTTTTTTCAGGGAATGTTCGTTTTTGCGTTTTTTTTACTTAATTTACAAATAATACTATTATGTCAATCATGACATTACGAGGTAAAATATTTCAAAGAAAGTACAAAAAAAAGTCTATGCCGCACCGTTGCACCATTTTTTTAAAAAAAGAATGACTGCTATGCGGTTAGAATCGTATTAGAGTTGCAAATGTTGACGACAACACGCGAATTGTGGCAATTGGATTTTGCATTTTATTGCTCGGTAGTATTTGATTGAGTGCTGACATTGTTGACTCATACTTATTACCAAATATATTTGATGGGAATCATTACCTCAAGAAAATGACTTTTTTGAAAGATGCGTAAGATATGCCGGGACCACTTTATTTGCTATTTCTGTGACATACAAATGCGTTTCATAGCCGGAATAGAAATTGTCACATTTCTTCAAGTAAAAAATCACTAGCGAGAATCAAAACGAATTGTAAAATAGTGTACATCAATACTATAAAATAGTAAGTCATAATAAAAGCGATCCTAATGAGAATTTCTTTTTATTGTTTTGTCTTTCTTATTTTTAATGATGTCAAAATACTTATGTTATTTAGTAAAAAGTACACATTTGTATATCATTTTGTAAACTTTCCCGATCATATGAGTTTCCTACACTGCTGTTCAGTGACGTAGAGGTTGTTGTCATACGAAATATTTTAATTTACATTTGTTTCATTTATCAGGTTTCAGATTACATTTATTTCAATTTCTTGTAACATAAAAACCGATGAGAGGGAACTTACGTGGCTTGTAAAGAAAAAGGACGACTAGTGAAAGTCGTGATAAATGTTAAAATTAATTAAAAACATGACTTTAATGAAATGATAGTCTTCGATCTTTGTATAAAGCATACAGAAAACCTTTAAAACTGCTTCTGACCGTGTTTTTACCACCAACACTTATCAGTCACCATTTACAAGTTTCTCTGGATGCCTTTAGATTATATGCAAGTGTAATAATTAGGGGGCGGATTTTGATGACCTAAACATTGCCAAAAATTATCAATAAAATGCTCCTCAAATGTTTTTAAAATGCCCTAAAACAAATAAAAATGACGTAAAAATGTGATAAAAATCCGTTCAGATGAGTAACTTGTGGTGTTGGATGCGTTGCAGATGCAATCGAGGCTTCTTCCTCTCGCGCTTGCGGAGGCGCAACATAAAATTCAGGATTTTATTATCAATCATTTTGGGGGAGAGAGTAAATTTATTTTTACATTTATTTTTAATGTAGTAGAACATGTTGAAGGAGTTTGTTATCGATTGGTGTAAAAATCTCAAAATATCAATTTTTACACTTACGTTACACTAGGCCATCGAATTCTGAAAAGAATGAAACGTCCCTGTAGGTAGTTTGTGTTTTAACTGGTGACAGAAAATCTATTATTTAAAAAAAGAGAAATACTTTACTTTTGGGAATGTACTGTATAAGATGGTTAAATCTGAGTGGACGAAGTTTAAAACCATCTTCATCTTTGCCCGTAGGCGCCCTGCCCATGGTGTCTGCGTCCGTTTTCTGTCTGCCATGGGCATGTCGCTGCCTTGTGATGCTGTCTTACTGCCTGCTGTCTGTGTGGGGGCTATACAAGGTACGTACACTTGTCTCCCCTTCCCACGCCCTATATCACACCCAAAGCACCATGACACTCTCTACGCTACACGTAACACATCCCACGTCACTCAACGGACCCCCCACGTCATTCACCCAATACCCCATGACACACACGCTACTCCCACGACATACACCCAACGCCCCAAATACAATTCCCATGTTCCATGCCATACATGCCATACGAGCGGCGGCGATGGTGTAACGGTTAGCGTACTGGACTGTTGTACCCAAGTTGGCGGGTTCAAACCCGATCGTGGATTTTTAAGGGCGAAAAAATCCTTCGTACGCCTTCCTTCGGAGGGGAAGTAAAGCCGGCTGTCCCATGTTCGTAGATTTACTTGCATGTAAAAGATCCTCAAGCCTAAATGACGCCTCTGAGCTAAATTCAAATCGCTTGTTTCTCGCCCAAGAAATACCTCCCTTCTCTCCTAGTTGGTGAAAGGAGCGTAGCGAAATTTGCGTGGTCAGACGGAAGAGCGGGCCTGATGGCTCGAGTCTCGCCTCGTAAAAACAAGGCCAATTCAATTCAATACATACAACGCCACACGTCACACTCTTCGCCGTAGGCGCCTCACATACTATGATCCACGCTTCCTCAATTCACGTTCCTTACCCTTACCCTTGCCATTCCTCATTCTCCGCGATACTCAATTGCTCCCCATGCCTCACAATCCATATTTTCCTGCGTCTTAAGATCCACTCTCACAACTTGCTCATCCGAACTTGCTCTAAGGGCACGCGTAACGAACAAAGTCTTCCCTAAACTCTTCTACTCACAAATTACAAAACGAAGTTAAAGGATCACTTCATACAATAGTGGTGTTTACAGAATGGCACCGACTTTCTCGAACTAGTTAGTTTCCTTACTCTCTTGTGTCTGAACTAGCTAGGCGGTTTTGCCCCTCTTTTCCCCAGCTACCGAGGGAGTCCCAAGGGCATTCCGGCGCCACTCCCCGCCATCGCTTACTCCTCTCTCAGACCTGCATTTTTACATATTTGCCCACATTATCCATTGGCCCCATCTCGGCGCTCGAACCATTGTTCTGAGCGTGTAGATCCAAATCCTCAGTTAAGCACTGATTACCTACAGAGCTGCCTGTCAGTCCAAGAGATTATGGGTATAGATGTAATTCACGAGGGACTCGAATGCCCTCCACGCCATTCAAACATTCACCTAACGATGCTTTCGAATTCACAGTCTTAGTGACTACTTATTTGGGATCACCTACCCCAAGCCTCGGTCCCTCGAAGTCCAATATCGAGACCATGAAGCAGCCCAGAAATCTTAGGCAGCAGTTGTTTTTTTCTAAATATTTTTAAGCCGGCGTAGGTTTGATAAGATTGATCATATCAATGGAAAGTATATGGACACTATAACAGAGATATATAACTATATAATTATAACTATGACAATGCATCAATTACACTGCAATGTACTTTTAAATAATGAACTTTAACAGTGTATATGACAATCCATTATAAACCTTGACCAAAACTTGTATATTGCACATAAATGAAAATGTAAGTTTACCATAAAAACCATTGATAAAGGATTATTTATTATAAATAATCCTTTATCAATGCATACTTTTTATTTGATTACACTCAAATATATTTTGAAATTATTTTATTGATGTTCGAGATGACCATGCATTTGTGGGAGAAAATAACTCAGTTAACCTTTCTAAAATATCCTCTTCCACAGCCGTCAGTTAATTGGGATACTAAATTCTCTATAAAGCAATTTTTTAAAGTGGAAAACAGAATACGAATGCGGTTTAGGTTCTCAGCGTATAATAATCTATGAAGTCTTCTTTCCCTGTGCGCCATGCCTTGCACTGCCCCCACGCAATATTCTCTGTGCTATCTTTGAAATGGCCGGGACTGAGTAGGCACTGCGGTTAACAACACAAAAACACAAATGGGGGGAGGGAGAGGATGGGCCCCAACGTAGTTTTCCCCCTTTATCTTTGTTTAGGTAAGGATTACTGTTTCATTGCTGAAGACTTTTATTATTTGAACTTTTCTTAACTTGGAACGATAGTTGTGTCTTACCATACTTATCAGATGTTTGGAAAAATATTCGAAACCGTTGCCATGCGTAATGGCTAACAGAAACATCAGTGTTTTCTTACAGCCTGACATGCCTGTTTTAATTTATTGTAAAAGCTGTAGATGTTTTCATAACAGTTGTGCATTCGTGGCAACACAGTGAATGTTGAACTTGTTCTTAAAAAAGACGTGGCTATGTCCCCGCGGCATGGACGAATACCGGAAGTGTTCACAATATTTATGCCTTTATCACAGCTCAAAGATTGAATATACTTTAACACAAAATTGCAGAAAATGGTTGTTATATTTTCTAAGTAGGAGGCGTGTTTTTAATGTAAGCTCAGTTTTGGAAAAAAATGACAAAGATGTGTTTTCCAAAACAAAATGTGTATTTACATGAAAAAATATTTCTTTAGCTATTTTTGTAAGTAGTTGTGCCATTGTTCAGCCATTTGTCACAGCTGAAAACCATTTTTTCTAAGGAGCCGAGACTGTAAACACGGTTGCTACCCACGTACACTGGTGTTCGTGAAAATTGCAACACCAAGAAGGAGACATACTATTAAAATGAAATTTATTCCACAGATTAGGAATATCACAAAATACAAATGATTAGAATTACAGAACTCTACCTGCATTTTGACATTGAGTATTTAGTACGGTGTGAAGCCACCACGAGCTGCCATCACAGCCTCTGGACGTCGTGGCATGGATTCGAAGAGCGCCTGGTCCTGCGGCTGGGGAACCACTGACACGTGGTTTCTATGCGTGACTAGAAAGTATCGACAGTGGCTGCAGGAGGACCAGAATGAACACGTTGCCGACCGATCATATCTCAGACACGTTCGATGAGCGACATGCTATGAATATGTGCAGGATGGGGAGGCAGTGGTACCCGTCGTTATTCGCACAATGCTTCCACATTCCTTGCCACATGCGATTGGGCATTGTCCTGCTGAAATACTCTGTTTGTGGAGCTGCTTAGTGAATAGGCAGAACCTCGGGGCCTAAAACTTCCCTTATGTAGCGGTTGTTCAGATTGTCCTCAATACGTATTAGGCGAGAACGTACATTGAAGCCAATGTAGTTCCAAATCATTACATATGGCGTTTGTGCGCTATGGCGCGGAACAGTGCAGGCTGGCAGATTGCGATAACCATGATAGCGTCGAACACGTACGCGGTCATCGCTGCACTACAAATGGAAGAAGGACTCGTCTGAAAACACTACATTTTGCAATTCAGTACACCAGTGAACATGTGCATGTGCCCATTGCTGTCTGAGGCGATTGTGGTGCCTGAACAAAGGAATTCGAGGCAGTGGTACGCGTAGTATTTTCATACCACCATCATGTTCCCTCATCATCTGCCAAATTCTCACTTTTTTTTACAAATATTGAATAATTAATTGGATTTTTAATACAACCTTTTTTAATGATTTGTTAGACGTTTAAATGATTATTTGGGTGAATATACAGGTAGACAATAGATTTTGCTTCAGAAAACCATGTATAGAATTGCGTAGTTGGAATTTAAAATTTGGAACTTGATCTAAGAATATATGAAATTTCGTTTCTTTGATAGAGTTTTAGTCTATGGGTATGAGTTTTAACTAACAGAACAATTTTGATTGTTCTTATTTTATACATTCATAATACTGTCACTTTCAGAAATTACTAGGGATTCACTTTATTTATATGGGCAAATCTTTGCAATGTGTATATAATTGGTATCCCACATAACAATGGAAACTTCATGCTGGGAGGTGAGAAATTTTTTTCTATAATAGGTATTATAGAAAATTTCAAACAATCCATTTTTGAAGACAGCTTTGATTTTGTCATCGATTTTTAATAAAACAAATCGTAAATTAAAAAAATTATCCAGCTTCAGGAAAGATGTGATACTAATATCCCAGTGCCAACACTGACCTGCTATACAATAACTAAATTTCAAAAAGACGAAATGGGGTATGGAACTAGCCCCCTCGTATGAAAATTTAATTACACTGCGCTTTTTTAATAATACTGTATAGTTTCGGATTGATGTTAAGAAATGGCCACAGATAATGCATTTAAAGGAGCTATTTCCTTTTGTAATAATTATTTCTTCTTTAAAAACGCATACACTCTTTCCTGACTCACTATTTTTGGACAACAAAACTTATTTGACTGGACTAATTTGAACTTCGTTGAACACTGAGAGACCTGCCTGTAATAACTAGAAATAAAATAAAATAACAATACTGTGCACAAATACAATTAATTTTATTTTGACCTCTTCATCATAATCCATATTCTAAAGGAGTAAACACTTCATAAAACGTAAACAATATTTTTATTACGTGAGGCTATGTGCTCCTTCCAAAATGTTAATGTGCCCACCCATCTGATTTCTACTATGTGAACAAATTTACAGCATTCTCAGATGCAAAACTGGTATCTTACATTTCAGGATCTCTTGGAACTGAGATAATCTAGTTAAATTTGGATTTGTTCTTATGTTTTGTTGTTTGTGGCCTAGAGCATTTATGAGCTATTACGTGCTGCTAAGAAATCTGCATTTCGAAAATGTATTAAAAGATAATGCATATAATTATTTCAAATACAATGTAGCAGTACTATATTTATCGATCAAGTGCTTTCCTCATACCAATTTCCCAAATGTATGTATTTCAAATGGTATCGCATTTGTTCCTTTTCCTGTTCATGGTTTTTATGCTTGCGAAACTTGTCAGATTAATGATTAACTTGTCAGATTGAGTTTTATTGTATAAATTTACTTAGACCCTTGTTTCAATTGAGTCATTTATAACTTACAGCACACATCTATTAATAAGTAAAGGTTAAAACTAATAAATTAGTTTCAGGAAAGGTAAAACACTTAAACTTTCATAAATTTATGGTGTGGGCCACTAGTGGCAAAT